GGAGGGTGAGAGCGATGGCAGCGTTGTACCGCAGCGTGAGCCGCGCAGAGTGAAAGCGGCCGATCTGATGAAAGACGCCCGTGAGTTGTTCCCGTGGAAGGACGACCAGAGAATACTGGCAGGATCACTGTGGTTTGCTTTGGACGACGGCGATCGAGGGGTGCAGATGGCGGCATTGCTGGACTCGCTGAGTTCATTCATACTGACAGGGACCCGCGGCTTAATCTATAGCAGCGGTCTGATACATTTTCTTGCTGTGTTAGGCATAGACCCCGAGATGAGACGGTTCCGGACTGCGAAGAATTACTCATATATGCTAGCAGGTGTGGTGTACTGCACACGAGTGCTTGGGGCAGCCAAACTACTTCCCGCAGTACAAAACAGCAGCGAGACTGACGACAACTACGAGAACTTTTTAGAGATGCGCCGCAAGTATCTCGCCGATGGGTCGCTTAGTCCAATGAGCGAGATGATTAATCTGTTGGCGTACGGCAAGCACATTGCACATAATCAAGGCAACACAGGCAACGCATACTGGTCAGAGGACAAGAAGATCTTTTATCTCAACGGGCAGCCGATATCTATCGCACGGTTCTGCAAGATGGCTCAGAGCAGTATAGAGGATGTGTCTAAGCAGCTGTGGTCGCTGCTGTGGGTGCAGAGGATGGAAGATTGCTTGTTTATCGATCTGGCGCAGATTGAAGACGACATGTCTTTTACAAAGCACGGCATGTCTTTTATAACTTGGACTAGCAACAAGCTTACAGATGGGCTGGCGTGGATGCTTCAGAGGGCTCGCAGCAAAGAGGGTGGCATGCGGCTGCAGACACTAGATGGCAGGTGGAGAGGCAAACGGGTTGGACAGTATCTGCGACAGGTCGACCGGTTTTTAGAGCTGCTGCTTTTCTGCGTGCATGTTACGTCTAGACAGCCCAGACGTGGGTCCGAAATCACGACGATTCGACACCGCAATAGATTGCTGCAGGACCGCAACGTGTTCGTGGTTGATGGCAGGATCATGACGGTGGTTCGCTATCACAAGTCGCAGTCGCAATTTGACAAGCTAAAGATTATGCCGCGCTTCTTGCCCCCGCAGCTGGGGCAGGTGATGGCCGTGTTTCTAGCTTACTTGCAGCCGTTCTGGGAGTATCTAGTCGTCGAGGTGTTGGGGGGCGGGTTGAGCGACTACGTCTGGAGCGATAAGCACGGGGCTTGGAACATAGATCGACTAACGAGAGTTATTAAGCGCGAGACGGGTAAGCGACTAGGCGTATCGCTGCACACGCTAGGATACCGTCATACAGCTGTAGGGATCGGAAGAGTTAAGGTGCTAGGCAAGCAAGACGTCGGCTTTCGATTGGTAGAGCAGGAGCAGGCTTTGCACGCTGTGCTAGAGAAGCAGACGCCGCTTATTGTCGTGCTTCCAACGGGCGGGGGCAAGAGCTTGCTATTTACGCTGCCAGCTTGCGTGGAGGAGACAGGCGTAACGGTTGTTGTTGTACCGTACCGAGCGTTGATTGAAGACTTGGTCGGGCGGATTCAGCGGTGCGGCGTCGACTGCATAGAGTGGAAGTACGGCGAGAACGATCCGGCATCTGTGGTCGTAGTCAGCGCAGACGTAGCTGGCGATATTAAAAGCGGCGGCAACTTTTTGGGGTACGCGAGGACGCTTAAGGCAAAGGGGCTGCTGCACCGAGTTGTGATTGACGAGTGTCATCTCGTGTTTACGTCAACGCACTGGCGGGAGAAGCTGTTAACGGTGAAGAACTTGCGGCTGCTCGGATGCCCGATTGTGATGTTGACAGCAACATTGCCGCCGCTGCGAGAGATGGAACTTGAGTCGAGTATGCTTGTGCGTCACGCAACATACGTACGGGCAAGCACAGTACGGCCGAACGCGCGGTACTTTGTGTCGTGGTGTCAGCGTGGCAAGCTTCAGGACACAGCGTTGTTCATGTGTAAGCGATGGGCAGAGAGGCTGCAGCGGAGCAGGCAGAAGGGGGTTGTATACTGTAAGAGTAAGCCGCAGTGCGAGGCAATTGCAGAGGAACTCGGGTGCGCTCATTATCACGCAGATGTGGTAGATCGTGGAGACCGGCTACAAGAGTGGGTAGAGAGGGGTGGGATGATTGTGGCAACGTCTGCGCTTGGAACGGGGGTAGACTTTGCGGGGATTGTGTATATCTTGCACGTAGGCATGCTGTGGAGCATGAGTGACTTTGCGCAGGCAAGTGGTCGCGGAGGAAGAGGGGGAGAGCAATTTGATGTAGTGGTGCTAGTAGAGCATGGGGAGGTAGAGAAGGCGATGGAGAGGGAGAAGGACGAGATTGATGTGCTGGCGATAGGACAGTTTTTGATTGGCAGTGGATGTCGACGAGAGCTGATGAGCTCATACTTGGATCAAAGAGGGGTGAGCTGTCGGGACATTGAGGCAGCGGGATGCGATCGATGCGGAGAGGGGGAGGAGGTATGGATAGAGGAGCACGTAGATTGGGCGCAAGAATGGGCCGCTGTAGAGGAGACATTTACGGAGCTGCGAAACGGATGTGCGATATGCTGGCTCGTTGGACAGGAGTATCGGACAAGAGAGGAGGGGCAATGGAGAAGGCACCGGGCGATGCAGTGCACAGCGTGGGAGAGGGCATCTGGAGAGGAGGCTGATCAGTTCCGAAGGAAGATTGTGGATCGGACCGTGAGGAACAACTGTCGGCGGTGCTGGGTAAGTCAGAGATACTGCGCAACACGAGAAGGAATGGACAAGCGTTGTCAGTGGCCGAATGTAGTAGTACCGCTAGCATACGCAGCGCGGCTGACAAGAAAAGGGATTCAAACAATGGGAGAGTCGGGGTTTAGGGAGATAGGTGACGAGGCATATGCAGCGTGGCTAGGCAAGAGACATAGAGAAGAGATATGGGGGCAGATTTTTACGAACGCGATGGTAATAGCTATAAAGCTAGTGCTAGAGGTTGTAGGTATAAGAGCGATAGACGAGATAGAGTAGAGAAGAGAAGAAAAAGAAGCTTTAAAGGCAAACTTATAATATATTACAGATAGAGCTTACTATATAGTAGACTACTTGTAATACGTTAAAAGGTTAAGAATAGAAGAGACAACAGGAAGACTAAAAAGAAGTTATTTATAAGTAGATAAAATATAGTTTACTATAGATAAGGGGTATTATTATTATTATTATTATTATTATTGTTCCATTAGAGTCTAGTGAGCTCGAGGCTATGTAAGACTTTGGCCGAGGCCGTTCTAACTAGATTTATTTACAAATACGAGTTTGTGCTTGAAGTGTGTCTGTGGTGCTTCGGCCTTTGTCTAGGTAAGCGATAGCTATCGCTTACTAGACGCCTAACCAATATGAGGCGCGGGTTATCCCATAACCCGCGCCGAAACAGGCTTAGCGTTAGGGTTTCTGCCCGTATCGGGCCATTTTGACCCCCCAAACCCGCGTTGTTTTGACACCCATAAGCCGCACTATTTAGGCTTAGCGTTAGGGTTGACTTAAACCCAAGTACACCCCAATATAGGCCCCAGAGGGTGTCATAGCATATATAGTGACTAAGAAAGTCTTTTGCAGTCTCCCCAATAGCAGTGCGAAACTCGCAGCGTTGTATATACAAGTGTATGGGGTAGTCGCTGCATCTAGGGTTAGGGTTAGGGCTTAACCCTAAGCTAACCCCTAAGTTTAGGGTTACCAAGAAAGTCTCAACAGCATCGCGACACAACAGAACAACGCCCGATGGGGGTATCTTGGAAAGTTTTCTAGATGCCCCCCAGGTATCTCTCTTTTCTATCTTCTACTAGTTGTTGCGTGAG